TAAAATAGAAAGGACAGCTGGGTCTTATTTAAGTTTGAAGTATGAAAGTCTGTGAAGCAACAGAAGCACCAACAGCAACAATAAAGCAATTCTAAAATGCACGCAGCTGTCTATCAAGCAGCTTGGAATTGAGCTATTTTTGAGTCTTCTCTCTCCATTATACAAAATATTCACGAGATAGACTAATTTTCTTTGGCCATTTTAGTCAAAGTAAACAAATGGTATCTTGTCTCAAACCAATTAAATTTGTTTTCTGTAGCTAGTGGAGTGTTTACCTAGAACTATCTTGAGTGTTATAGAGGAGTGATTTGGTCAGGAATGTTGTTGCCTGGAGTACTGTTCTGTTTTGTTTATTTAATTCATGTCTTTGCCCTCAGTGGAATTTTTAGTATTGAAGTGTTTTATACTCCAGTGCATGAGTCTTCAAGGTCTCTTGAGCCTTTTTTTGCATTAAGAACTTTATCAAAATTTTATCCATCTTCACTAGAAAAGATCTGATTTTTTAAACTGTGTAAGAATCCTTCTATCATGTGTGTGTAAATTCTATAATATCCTACACAGTAATTGCCTTAAGAGAGCAATAATACTTGAAGATTTATAGCTAACTGTGAAATCTCTTTTCTGATAGCAGTATCAGATACTTTGATGCCACAGGAATCAAAAATCTGTTATTTAAATTATATAATTAAATTGTCATTCAGATCTAATAATCACTAGCAATTTAGTGAATTACTATCTCTTTAAAAGAATAAAAAGTGGTAAAGCTGGAGCGCAGCTTGTAGTTAGGTTTTTTTAATCAAAGCTGGAGTGTATGGATGCTTTCCTTTAGCTGCATGGTTACAAACCACTGTGGGGTAGGTGGCATTAAGTCACAGATCACTCTGTCCTTTTGCCCCTTGCTGCGCTGAGATACATTCTTTCAGCAGTTTTTGAACTGTTGCAAAGTAGAGAGTTTTCCTGCTTATGATGAAAATTTTTTTGTAATAAAGCTGTGAGATGGAATGATATGTTTAACAAAATTTGGTACCTCTTATTTGGCCCATTTTTGGTAAAAAGAGTGGAAAGCTGATTAAACCATTAAAAGCTTCAATTTATTTTATTTATAGAAACTCTTCTAAAGAATATTTTCTGGGAAGAAGGAATGCAGTGAGGAGAAGGCATAGGAAAATGCACAGCCTAAAGCTCTGGTAGTATTTAAAATTGGTGCCTATGCTAATCTAATATGAGCTCGCCACAGATCCCAAGGGAGCTTGACGCAGGATTCCAGAGAAACTTATTAACATCCAAAGCGTGTTTTTTATAATAAAAGTCAGAAGGTTTTCTTACTGAAAAAAAGAAATCATGTGCTTTTTATATTTGAGGAGGGGAAGGAAAATCTACAATGGATCACTTAACATTCTGTTTAATGATTTTATTAGTTTGTATGCATTCACTGTGGTCTAAATCCAGGTTTGCCTTTGTTCATGAACCTGAGCATTAAGCTGATTTATTTTTGTGAAAATGCACAATTAGCTGTAAACATTTAATAATTTTTATTTAGTAGTGTAATTATTTAAGTAATCAGGGTATTTAAATTTCTTCCTCTGATTAATATGAATTATAAGTATTATATAAAGAAAATTATTAATGTTGTGACTGATTTTTCTCTGAAATACTAAATGCACTCTGGTTGTGAAATAACTTGAGTGCATTATTAAATACTGCTCTGGTAAGACTAGCTTACTTTACAGAGAAATCTGGTCTAGTCTGCTTCTCTTGCATATAGAAACTACAGAATACAGACACCTAGACACTACAGAATACCCATACAGACAGAAATAGCTCAGGTTTGCAGGCATTGAGAATGTGAGTAGACTGAACTATGGAAAACATTTAAAGGAGAATACCAATAAGGCATAAGGCAGGCTGGAATGAGAGTAGTGGATTTAACCACTGGTTGGTCAGTCAGTCGGGACTTACCAAGCAGTGATGAATTTCAACCAACTATTAGAAAAAGATATGTTAAAATTTCTGTGTTTAGTTTAGTTTGTGTCTGTACTTTGCATTTCATGCTTATTTAAAAATATGAAAAATATCCTTCACTATCCTATATAATTTGTTGACAATATTTCAAAACATTAATAGAAAAAAGCCTGCATTTTGTGGTCATTAGAGATCCTTAAATAATCAGATTTGCTAATGTAGTTAGTTACTGTCAGTACCACTAGGGTGTAGGTATCTTATAACGATACATCCATGAGAAGAGGAGACTGAGGCTTATCAAGACTGAGGCCATAATTGCTGAAACTCTAGCTAATTTCTACTCCTGTTGTTTTGGGTGCCAGAGCTTGTTATCAAACAATACAAAGCATAGCAGAGCAGTGTGTAACTCAGGGCTAAAATTATATGTCAGTATTCTACCTCTGGACTATTCTTGTCTAAGTTCAGTATTCCACCATTGTAATAGCATCTGCTAAGTGCATTTAATTTCTTATGAAAACATCATTCATTTCTGAAGTTAAGATGCTGACAAAACTGTCTGGGTGAGCGAGCAGTGTACTTCTGTGGTCCATATGTACCTAATTCTTGGGAATTCTTTTGGTCTGTAGTATAAAATAACAGCAATGGTTTAATTTCTTCCTTTTGACAGTGCTTGTTGTCTGATACAACTTTTTTACCTTGAAAGATCCTCTTTTCAGAGAGGTTCTGGAGACATTTCCTAGACAATTCCTAATTCCAACTAAAGTTTTCGTTTTGAGAATCAAAAGGAATGTTAGGGTTTTTATCCCTTAAAAGTGTGTGCAGTGATGCTATGTGGGTTGTCGTAGATGTGTAAGTACATAGGGCTCTTACTCTGAGTTGTGTGCTATGAGGTTATTCTTTGTTTTGAAACAGGAGATCCTGAGAAGGAACTTAATCCAAAGAAGAAGATTTGGGAGCAAATCCAACCTGATCTTCATACCAATGACCAGTGTATTGCTACATACAAAGGAGTTCCATTTGAAGTGAAAGGGAAAGGAGTGTGCAGGGCAGAGACCATGGCAAACAGCGGAATTAAATAAATAAATGGTTATTAGAAACTTTTACAGATGTTGAAATGGAAAGTGATGCAAGCACAATAAAAAGAATGAAATGCATGGCCAAGACCTGTTTTGTTTGACTTCTTTTCCATAATACATTACATCTCCAACATTTTGACAATTTGCTCATTCACTAGGCTTGTTGTCCTTGAGGTTGTGTGCTGTCAGCAGTTATTAACCACTCAGTGCTCATGACTTAATTGCCAAGGCTTGTTCGTGGTGGGACCACAGGCAGGCAAGTAAATTTTCTGGACAACTTGAAGGTGTAGAGCTTCTATTCAGCAAAAACTTAAGGAAATAAGGAAAATATTCTGCTGTGCTCCTTGTGTGCTAATTGCAGAACTAGCAGCTGGTTAGTGAAAAGCACAGTTGTCTTTATTCTTCTAGTCACTTCGTAATAGTTTTTCTCCTCTTCTTCCAAGCAGTTTTCAGATGTATTGTATGCCTCTCCACCTTTGTTCTTGCCTGTGTTCTCTGCAGTCAGTTGTAACTGGAAGATTAAACTGGTGCTTTATGCCCTAGGATGTACAAATGGACACACTTTCATGTCCCCAGAACTAAACTGTTATAATTTCATTAAGATCAAAGCTGGCACTTTGCTGGAATAGTTCTTTATCTAGTCCACCTAAGTATATCCTTCCAAACCGATAGGTAGGACTAAGAAATAATTAACAGATCCCTGGAACTAATAAAAAAATGAAAAAAAGCCCTCAAACCCCAAAAACCAGCCTGCAAGAAAACCCAAGAAGGCAACCAAACCAAAAACATTCCGTTTCCAGTGCTCAAACAGGTATAAAATTAATTGATGTTTTGGTTTTGTTTTAATGTGCTTTTATGCAATGATGTTTTATACAAAAAAATGCTTTGGTTTTAACAGAAATAGCTTCTTCAATTTTTAGAGTTAGTATTCTTTCATAGTAATGTTGTACAAATAGTCATATTGCTAGGCTGTTAGCCTCAAATTAATTCTTTTAATTCCTTACTTGCAGTTATATGAAAATAAATATTTTGGATCCATTCACAATAATTCTTTTGATTAGCTATATAGAGATACTTCAGATATTTTTGCATATAATATTAAATTAAAATCTTGCTGTATAACCATTGAAACAGTAAATACTATTTTAAATACTGAAATTAAAAACAAACTTGAGCCTTTCTAAATTTTGCAGGCTTTGAACTTCATCCAATAAGTGGAGAGAAAACAAAATGACAGTGATATAAAATTAAAAGGAACATGCATAAAGAGGAGATGAACAGATTTTCTTTTTGAATGAGTTTTTGTTTGTGCCTGTAAACTGTTAGTTTTTCATGCATCTGGCAATAAGTAATAGTTATTAGTTCTTTTAAAGGTGCTGAATAGCATTAAGCACATGGAAGCCATTTTATCTGCCTTGTAAGCTGCATATCCTATGATGTCTTATTAAATAAAATCATTGTAGTTCAAGAACTTGGTAGGAATACTTTTAGAACAGATAAATCCTAGCTTTTAGTACCAGAAATCTCTTTTTAGAAATGGAAATTCAGAGGAACTTCTGAAGGCTTGAAGAACTGAGCAAAGAGACCCCCTGAGGCTGAACTCCTGCATTTTTTACTTCCTTTATTTTTTTTTTCTTTTAAAATTTTATTTTATTCTTCCAGATCTGTATTCTGTGTGAACCGGAATTTACAGTCTGATGTACTGCAAAATCCCATTTGTAACTACACACATATTAGCACGATTTTGGAGCACTAACTTCCTTGTTCAGATTTTGTGGTTGAACCTAGGATTCTGAATGCAGTGGTGTGAGGTACTGATAAGCTAAAGAGATACTTCTAATTGTGTGTTCAGAGGTGTTTGGTATGGATGTGGAGTTTTCCAGTTGATGGCTTTTACTCTTTTATTTCTATTAGATGTTACCTACTGTAGAAAATAGACAAGTGAGCACCTTAAAGCTAATTTTAGTCCTTGCTGTGTTTAAGTAGTACTTGATAATTATTTCTTTGTATAAAATTCAATAGCTTTCTTAAGACAATATTTCTTTGCTCTTTAATTATGCTGTTGTGGTTGTCTAGAAAGATGTATTTATGCTGTACTGAGCTCAAAAGTGACAACAGGGTACTTGAGGCGCTGTGCAAATATGTTTCCTCACTGTATCCAGCCTCTTCTGCCTTGTCTGCATGAGTAAGTAGGACTGCAGTGAAATCCTTCCACGTGGGACCCAGAAGTTCCTGTAATGAAAAGCAAATTTTAACTAGTTATCTCATTTCTTTTCCCCACTCCCATTTCATATGCTTAGTACATTACCAGACCATTTACATGTATGTTTTTTTTTAATCCTGGCAGTAATCCAGTTCATGCTATCCAAGTTCTGAAATTTCTGGGGTTTTTTTCACCTTTCTGAGACATTGACATCCACTTTCTGTGGAAATACGTGGTCCTGCAGTACTAGCAGTTCTCTGTTCCCTGGCTACAGATGTTAACAGAATGTCTCCAGTTAAAAAATGTTCATGTAAATAAGGAAAACTAGTTGTTTAGCCATGTCACACATTAGTTTGAAATCAGTAGTTACCACATATCCATATTGCCACACTATTTAGATATCTTAAATTTTTTTTTTGCAACACTGAAGCACCTTTTTTTGAAAAAATAAATGATGAATTTCTATGTAACATCAAGTTCAGTTCCAGCTGTGATCCATAAAACTGAACTATTTTCAACAATTCAGGAAAAACACGAATCAAATGCAACACCTTAAATAATGGGCCAAAGAGCTTTTCTTCAACTTCTGTGATTTATCTGATGGAGGGGAATGGAGAGAACAAGCTGCTTTTCTTTCAGAAAGTACAGAAATAGGAGTAAGAGAGGTTGGGCTTTAAATTGCAGGTGCTAACTCCTCTATATGACAAGAAGGCTAAAGGACACTGCAGTGATCTCGACTCTAACCTAAATGCTAAAGTATACAGAACTACTTTAAAGGATGTTTGTCTACTTCCAAGGTAAGTGGGTGTCCAAACCACCTGGTGTATTGATAGTGATTAATCTGTTTTAGACCCTAGGGATGAAAAATATCAAGCACATACAGAATTTTTCTTTAAGCTGCCCAAGGAAGTCTTGAGTTACCAGTTTCAGAAAGAGAGGAGAGAGCTTTGATTTGCTGAGGACTCAAAATCAGTTGCAATCTTTGTTCTGAAATTAGTGCCTGCCACTCGCAATTCATTAGGCTGTCGATGGAAAAAAAAGATTCACTTTTGCAGTCAACTCTGCCATAGCTATTGTTACCTGAAGAAGAAAAAGTTGCCATTGGGGCAGAGACTTTATTTTGTTTTGGTTACCTGGATGAGCTGAACTGTGTCATCGCTTTCATCTGGGCGCAGAGGCAGGTCAGCCCTGAGGACCAAGAGGGCCAAGTGCAGGCCTTCCTCCCCGAAGTGCCGAGCCAGGGCTGCTCTCACCGTGTCTCTCACTTGCTCTTTGCTCAGAGCACTGTGAGGGTAGCTGGGGGTGTCCAGCACTCGAACACGGAGAGCTGACTCGCAGCCGTTTCTCCGGATGAGCCCCAAAATGCGGCCGCTGCGTCCCAGGCTGCAGCACGTAGTCACGGAGCTGGGGCAGAAACGGCTCTCAAAGTCTGTGCTGCCCAGCAGGCTGTTCCCAGCAGCGCTTTTCCCAGTCTGAGCTTTTCCAAGCACAACGAGATTGATGATCATCTCATTGCTGTCTGCCATTGTTGGCGCTTTTATCCGCAAACCTGTCACTAAATACAAATAACATTAGGTGCTTCAGATAACTTCGGGGAGTGGGGGGAAAGAAGAGGCAAGAATTTCCAATATTTGAGTGTTTTTCCCTGCCTGAAATATGAAAAGAGTTTTAGGAAGAAGCAATAATGTGGAGAGGCAACAGAGACGGGAGGAGTTGGGGAACACCTGTGGAAAACACTTGCCATTCTGGGACTAGTAGTAGGTTAGGAGAAGGAGGCTGACTAGGGAAGGAAGAAAAGAATGGTGACAAATAGGTGCTGCTGTTATTAAATGACAGTGTTTCAGGATGTAAATATTTACTTGTTTTACGAGAAAGAATAATCAAGGAGAAGTAGATTTTAATGGAGCACTTTTCCATAGCTTAAAATATGTTTTTCGTCAGCTGCCACTGACATTGAAATAGACAGTAGTGTAAAAGGGCTTCTAATGCAGAAAAATGTCTCAATTAAAAAAAAAAAAATAAAAAAAAAAAATAAAAAAAAAAGGAGGAGAGCTGAAATAACCAATCTCATGAAAATGAGATTTTGGAAATGTATACTAAACCATCTTGTAGTGGAAAAGTGTAGTAAGTGTAGTGAAGTAAGTGGAAAAGAAAGTGTAGTGTAGTAAGTGGAAAAGAAAAACATAGACTGGTGGATAGAGAGAGGGAGTTGGCTTGGGATCATTTCCAGTTACTCCATTTGTTCATAAACAAGACCTCTCATTCTCTTTGTACTTTTCTGTAACCCAGTTTCCGAAAGGGTTTTAGTGTGTGCTGATCATCTAACAGGAAAACTTGTTATTTAAATAAATTGAGACATGTTTGAAAAGGTAAAACCATAGTGGCAAATAGTGGATTTTAAGTTTCCGTGGCATGTGAACTTCAGAAATAATTTTTTTTTTTTAGATACTATTTTTAGGTACACATAGAGAGATCATGAATAATTTCAGACTGGCTTTTCCTGTGATTAATTTATTTAGATTCTTGCTGTGCAGTTTAAGCTTTCTCTCTCATATTAATTCCATGCCTAAATCAATATTTTGAAATAATTTCCGTACAGCACCAAAGACACAAGGGCTAATAACATACTAATTTTTTTATAGTCAGCATTGAATATATGTATGACAATCTTACTGGATTCACAGTGAGGTTTTTGTGGATTTTTCAATGATCAATTTCCTTTTAAGAAAGACATCTTATGAAATGGTTGTCTTCAGTTATTCATCAGTCTAGATATGCATTGTGCTACACTCTGTAGCATAATAATAGGAAGTAGTGGACTTGGATTAGTCCATTCCTTATTTAAATCATAATCAAAAATTTGAGTTTTTTTCCCTGTAAGCAGTCTACGCTTAAATACTTAGATTAGTTTCATTTTGGGTCACTTACCTTATTTTCCTTTAATTTCTTCTTTCATTCAGGCTTCATTCATAAACCACATGTGCAGTATAGAAAGAAGTTCATATGTGAACTTTGAAACTTACAGCAGCACCGTACCACGCCGAGACTGTTACGTACACGTTAATCTGGTTAATTTATTACTGATAGCTCCTCATTCAAGTGCATATGTTTGGTCAGTAATTGGCACGGTTGAAATTTTTGTAACTTAGCTGCAAATACTGTTTTTGAAGTCGCTTAAGTGATTGCATGACGTTGATATTTTTAAAAGTAAATTAATTCCACCAGCAGTTAAATGTGCAAATGATAAATGTAGTAGTGGGATTCCTTTGTATTGCATGTTCTTGAATGTGTCTTCATATGTGCATGTGAATAGCAAATGCACTCTCTTATTACTGCAATGAATTATTAATTGCAATATTTTCATAGCGCAGTCTAAATAATTTGCAGATATAAAGATGTTTGCTTAGCAAAGATGGATTAAAATAATAACAAATATATTAAAATAAAATAAATTAAAATTATTTGTGAACCAGGAAGAAGACTGAAGACTTCTTGCAGAACTGCCAGTCATGTGCATTAGCTATTGGCTGTTAGCCTAATAATTTTTCTTGCAAGCATCATTGTTTGCCATGCTATAGTAGCATTCAAACCAGAAAGGACCTATCACTTTTTTCCAGTTTTCCACAAGTGGGAAAGTAACTGGTTAGAAAATAAATGCAAATTTGTTCTTCAATGACCAGGTTGTGGTTTTAGAATGGGAGCATGGATGAGCCTGTCCTGTCTTTTCACAATGATCAGCCATCTCTGTAAATCCCAGAGGTGCAGGCACAAGTTTACTCCAAGGGTATTGAGATAACTTGTCAGTAAGAACACGAATCTGGTGTGTAAGCTGTATGTGGTGGCAGGAAAAGAGGAATGTGCTTTCCAGAGCCCAGTCCTGCTGGGGACGTTGTCATCGGAGGTGTAGCTCTATGTGGGAGTTTGTAGGGGTTGGTTTATCGCAGTACCAGGGCTGTTCCTGCCAGCCACAGCAGTGAAGGGGCTGCAGCTCCTCTAGAAGCCCATTGAGTCCTGCTGTGGAGCCACGAGCACAGCCACTGCTCTGGCCAAAGGCAGGAGCTCCTCGTGTCCGTTCACGTCGTGAGCCATGAGTGAATTCATCGTTTGGGTTACTTGGCTGAAGGTGGGCATGTAAAAAATTTTTTACTGAATGTTTTTAAGAGCACATAGACAAGTGTTCTTGGGCCTGCCCCTTCTAGTGAGAAATCAGACATGAAAGCTGTCCCTGTACCGTGTGTGTACCCAAGGCAACTTCTCATGGTTCCCACTGCCTTAGAGCTCTGTGCTGTGCACAGCCTTTGTGTCTCAAGGCACCTTATATATAAAGTGTATGGCAAGGTGCTGGTGAATACAAACTCAGACTGGATGAGTCACTCAATTTCAAAGCAAAAGGGTAGATCAGTCTCATAAAATTATGGATCTTGACTTTGGTTAAGCTTGTCTAGATCTGTGTTTTTCATTGGACTGCTCCTTTGCAGAGTAATACCCCTTAAGACATCTGAGGTCACATATGTCCTAGCAGTCTCATCCAACTAGATAATTTAAACTGACAGGACAAGGATTTAGACTCCTAAAAAACCCTAGAATGCCAGAAGCAGGAGAGTGTTCTATGCAAAATACAGCTTGCTCAGCTCGATGCAGAACAGGGCTTTTATAATGGCAAGATGGCTGTAAAATTAAGAGTGGTGTAAAAGAGGCACTACCTGAATGAGTTCTAAAATTTGCCTAAATTAAAAAAAAATTATTTCCAGTATTATTGTGCATGGGATAAAATCCAAGTTGGAACACATCTGGAAGGTCCTACAACTGCACAGGCAGAGGATTTAAAAAAGTTGTCTTCTTGGAAAGATATGACAGGGGAAAATCAAACTGATTTACATGACACTAGCATGGGCTCCTCAAACTTGGAAAAAGTCTCCCCAAGGTGGCAGTATCAGCCTGCTCCACAGGTAATGTAGAACTCAGCTGGGGTCCCCTTGCTCTGCAGTCCTATGCTGAAATAAAATACCAGATCAGAAATGAGCTACAGCATTAGAAAACACAGGACAAATACAGGACTCTTCAAGCATCTCCCGAGATAAGAAATGTAAAAACCATTTTTCTCTCTTCTGTCAGAAGAAGCATTTTTAATTTACATATAAAATACAAAGTGTAGCACCTTAATTAATGAATTTGAACATCAGTAATGGAAAGGTAGTAGTTAAGAAACAGAAGTGTTATTCACTGTTCCTTACATGATTCTTGAAAATCAAGGTCTTTTGTTTTCACCAGCTTTTAAGTTGAGTCAGTGACAGTTATTATGAGGCTTTAGATATAAGATCTTAAAATCTACTGCCAGAACATCATCTTGTATAGAGTACAATAAAGTTGCCTGGGATGCTTTTTAGCACTGCTTGCTTCCAGTGGGTGACCTATCTTTTTTGTTTGCTTTGTTTTTGTGTTTCTTTATTTTTGAAATGGCAAAGAGAAAATCAAAACTGTGCCTATTACAGATTGGCAGGCAGAAAGGGTTCTTGCAACTGGTAAAGGAAACCTTGTACTGCTCCCATGGAAGTACCAAGCAAGTCTAGTGAGGAATTTTCAGGAATCTAAGGAAGTAAAATCCTTAATCTAATTGAACATAAGGATCATTTGTGTATCTAGCATCTTTATTTGACTTTGAATAAAGCAAGGCTAAAATACTTTGCAAGTAGCCATTAGTTTTGTATCTATGGAGTTAATTAGAGTTTAATTTTAGTCACATTAGTGTGTCAGCTGCTGTTCTATTGTAGTCCCTGTGATCACTCAGTTGGTTTGCACACACCCTAAACAAGCTCTCCATGATGCTTGTTTGGGTATACCAAGCAGGCTAGATCTTGTAAAAGCAAAAGAGCAGTTTCTCTTTAGGCACATGGTATCTCTTACCATGTGTCGTCTTTCAGTTCCCACGCCTTCCCATCCCTTACAGCTTCTTTCCTCATGTGGGCTCTCATTTTAGCCCAAGATGATGCCATAATAAGTAATTTAAGATGTGCTTTGATGAATTTCTCTTACTTAGAGGAAACCCAGTGAGGCCATTTTATGGATTGCCACACACAAAGACAGGCTCTTAGCCTGCCCAAACAACATGAGAAATCCAGGAGGGTATGCAGTCCACATAGTCAGTGTGGCTTCACTACTGTTAGATGTGTAAAATCTAAGAAACAGCAAGCACATCACTGCTGAGAGAGAAATAGGACAGATTTAGTGGGATTCTCCTTTCTACTTCATTCACACAAAAATCTTCTGACTCCAAAGGAAGACACATACAAAGTACACTAAAGGCCCCTTAAAACAGATGATTATTTTTTTTCCCTTGCTTAATGCAGTCCTTAGTATTCTTGGTATTTTCAAACGTAAGTAATAAATTATCAGCAGTCTACAAGATCATGTTTCATTTTGCAGTGTAGGTTGTGTGCCACTACCTTGGCGTTGCTAAGGGGAAAGGAGGTGGGATGTAGCTGCAGTTGAAATTGTTGTAACTTTAGTTACAATTTCAACTGCAGCT